AAATGCTAAACAATGATTTGATATGCCTCAAATTAATTGGGCTAATTAAGAACATAAATGTCACTTTTAAATGCTAAACAATGATTTCATATGCCTTCATAACGGATACAATCACGCATTTTCAAATATGACTCATTAGTTATTTATCATTTTATTGTTTTATTGTGATCATATATATATATATATATAAATTCAATGATATTTTAAAATCAATTATCACTACGGAATTTACAATACACATGCTAGCGGACAAAAGGTGATTCTTTTTAAAGCCCAAAATGAAACATTGTGTGGGATCAAAACATCCATTTCAAAATGATTTTTTTTTTTAAATCTTACATTTGTGTTTCAAAGATTTTATAACTCCAGTATTCTTCCTTGAATGATGTTTGAATACTTTAAAATATGCATTTGCATCTTATGAACACTTCAAACATCATATTGTCCTTTGCAAGAATTTAAAATACTATGTAATTGCTCCTTGTGAATGAATCAAACATCATGAAATTGCATCATACAGGGACACATAATATTGTATAGTTACATAATGCATTAAGATGTGTGCAAATTGAAAAAAAAAAGTCTGTATGGGCTCCAACAATCATGTTAAGTGATTAGATTCAATTGTTTTGAGAATGTTGTGGAGACTAATATGAAATTATTTTGAACCATATTACTCTAAGTGTGCAAAAAAATTTAAAAAGTATGCATATGTTTATAAAGTGTACAAATATGTGAAATTAAAAACCCGCATGTGCTCCAACCATTATTTAAAATAAACAAATATATGTTTGAGAATGATGGGCAGTCTCAGGCAAAATCAAGTTTATTCACACACAAGTACTACAACAACAACAACAAAGCCTTAATCCCACTACGTGGGTCGGCTACATGAATCTTTTTTCTCCATTGCGTCCTATTTATTGTCATATTTTCATTTAGTTCTAGTAAATTAAGATCATTATTAATACAATAAGCCCAAGTTTTCCTAGGTCTACCTCTGCCTTTCTTAACACAAGTCGAATCTAAAACATCTACTCTCCTAATCGGATCATCAGATGGTCTACGTTTAATGTGACCAAACCATCTAAGACGACTTTCTCTAATTTTCTCTGTCACAGGAGCTACACCAACCCTATCACAAATATATTCACACACAAGTACTCCACCAAATTAATTAAGTGCCTAAATTTAAACATTCTGAGAATGATGTTAAACGTTCACTTACTCGCTTTGACAAGCATGCAATGCTCTTTTGGAAAATACATGATTATTTTAAAAATTAAAGAACCCTTACATTTTATATATCAAATCCAAGACAATTAGACAATGCATATTTTCAAACAGACCGTTTTAATTATAGAGCAAGGTTATAAGTCTCACTCAACTAGTTTGATGCTCCTCTTGAGAATTTGAGTTGATAAGTCTAGTATTTTCAATAATATCCAAATAACAAGCATAAAATTTGCAAGTTCAAATCACCCGGTCTAATCCTTCTAGTCATAAAAACTGAAGATGACAAGACTAATATTTCAAAAATCCAAAATAGATAAATTTTAAATAAGTTGTAAATATAAGTGTTTTCAAATACCTAAATCCTCGAATGATTTGCCTCTAAATGACACTACTATATTAAGGTCACGAGCATAGCCTGTATATTCCCCACGACTTTCCACCCTTTGATTTGTGAACCATAAGATACATTTAATTTGCACAAAGCCCTCTATTAGCTAAATTCTGCTTAAATTTTCACCCTTAGATAAACATCCACCCCATATCTATAAGAATCCCTTGAACGACACAACATATGAGTGCTGAAAATGATCGGTTGGGCAAACTACCTCCTCTGTCTAAGTAGAAAAAGGACCACAACGACCCGGGATGACGAGATCATGAAATCTTGATTGGGTCATCATCATTTCCCCCACTATCTATTTTATACTTAATGTGATAAATTAATCAATTTTAAACCATAAATCTGTTGTTACAATATGTTGACCATTCAGTGTTTAATATCTAGCCTTAATCGAAGGTGCTCTCCTGTTATCAGGAGGGGTAATTCACCATTGAACCCAGACCCACACACCCCCATAGAGACAAGCTGACGACTCTAATGTTGAATAGCAAAAAAAAAAAAAAAAACACACACACACACAAAATGAAGTTGGAATCTCTAGGTAGTGTCTTATCTACAATCTAATCTGTTTTCTGAAAATTTGACTTAACACACACACACACACACACACACACACAAAATGAAGTTGAAATCTCTAGGTAGTGTCTTATCTACAATCTAAGTTGTTTTCTGAAAATTTGACTTGAAATAGCAATTCAAAGCTCTCTCAGCTCAAGGAGTCCGAGGAATGAAATTTTGAAGCCCAAAAGCAGGTTTAAAGAAATAAAACAATATTAGCAAAAAAAAATATATAAACAAGTATTTTGGAATCTAGTATAATATTATTTTGTAACATTATAATTAAATAAGTGACTTATGTTATTAGGAACTGCACTAGAGAAAGTTCAGACTAAAGATTAAGCAACAAAATGAATCATTCAAAAGTTACGTTGAATAATTATAATTTTAACTGTACTAATGAAAGTTTTTTTAGTTTAATGGTGCTATGTAATTTTATGATTTCAATTAGAATCACATTTGATACATTCCAATCATTACAGACAGTGATAAAAAGTAATTGAATGTTTAAATTCAATAACTCGTACAAATATTGTAATATGTTTAAACAAAATTAATATACATTGCATTTGTATTGAATGTTTAATGCACTTTAAATAGTTGAAATAAAATTAAATAAGAATCAAATAAAATAAAGAGGATCAATCAATCAAAGGAGTCACCCCATTATGATAGTAAATATGATGCTATTGTATCTGCGCATGTGAGAAAAATGAAAAAATGTGGAAGAAAAGAAAAATGTTTATGAGTATAATATTTTAGATGATGATCTTGTGATACCTTCATTAAAATAAAATATAAATGTTCAAGGATTTTATTAAAGTAAAATGTTGATGTTTAATCACTTTTGAACAACATACATGTTTGAAAATTGGCATAAAAATTAGTGCATTATAGAAATATAATTTTTCGTATAACTTAACATATAGTTTAAATGGTTATTACAGGAAAAGCTCATTTAAACTGAATAGCTACCCAAGGGAATTTGTATATAGAAAAATGGAAATAACTGAAAATAGATACAAAAAATGTAACTTGTACTGTTGTAGGAACTTAATTTTATATGTGTTAGGTGTGAATTAGAAATGTAAATATTTAGCAGCTCTTTACCGTTTAAATGATGTATTGGATTCTTGTAAATATTAGAAAGGTATTACTTAACTATCCAATTGTCTATTATGATATTGGTAATTCCAAGCTCCAAAACAAGGTCTTGATGTGTTAGGACAAAAAAATATATGTATGATGAATCACGGATTAGCATTAAAAATAGTCGTACAGTAATCCAACAGTTTTTAAATACTGGGGTTTAAATTAATAACTAACATCGACTCCATATATTTTCAAAAGTTATACAAAATATAATCAATGCAAGGTGCTTTGGTGTACACTATTTATAGATGATATTATTCTAAGTAGTGACTTATTTTCTAAAATAAGTGAGAAATTAGAATATTTCAAAAATGTTTAGAAGATAAAACCTTAAAAATGAAAGAACAAGAACTAAGTATGTGATTTATGATTCTAATAAGTATGCTTCTTACAATTATCAGTTAAGAATTTCAAATAATGTAATACTTAAGTGTTATAAATTTAAGCACATCAGATCAATCATGTAAATGAACTGAGACATTGATCAAAATAAAACTTCTAAAGTCTGGATGCTTAAAATGGGAAATTACCTCAAGCAATCTGCAAGATAAGATATTATTGTGGAGGCTTAAAAGTAAAATTTTATAAAATTACAATTAAGTTGATGAAGTACAGATCCAAATGTTGGGCCATAACAAAAAGTATCTAAATTGAGTGAGATAGACATGCGAACATTGACATGGATGTATGACAAGCCTTTAGAAAAAAAAAAGAAAACAAAGGATAATTATAATAATGGAAAAGTTTGAGTGATATCTATTAAAAAATAAGATGACTGAAATTTGGTTTGGACGTGGGCTACAAGGGATAAAAATGAGCATGTCAGAAGAGTTGTTAAATTTAGTCTAAAAACAGTAGAAAAGAAAAAGGATTAGGACTAAAATTTCATAGTAGAAGTTATTCAAAATGATTTGTTTATAAAATAACCTAAACAACTCAAACCACGCTTAGTATGAACAAAAAAAAAAAAAAAAAGATGAGGATTTATAATGTTGACTCCAAGTATTTGGGAAAATTGTGATCATTTTCAGTATCACAATTTTATAATGTTGACTCCAAGTATTTGGGAAAATTGTGATACTGAAAATGATCATATCAAATGCAACAAGCCAAATCCAAATTATTAGAATAGCATAAACGATGCAAAATTTGAGTTAGGAAAACCCAACTAAATAAAATTCAATATGCATCAGAAGAGCAAGTTCCTCAACTTGTATGAAGTTCAATCGACAGCAAGCACTCTTTCTAGATTTCATTTTATTTAAAAAAAAGCAAACTTGCAGAATGTAGGTACAGCAGAAATATGACAATTAATAAACTCGAATTTACAAAAAAAAAAAAAAAATTATTTGACCAATTATAAATTTTTAGTGTTATTACTATCAACTAAAAACTTTTCTTTAAAAAAAAAAAAAAAAATTATTTGACCAATTATAAATGTTATTACTATCAACTAAAAACTTTTCTTTAATTCTTGTTAAAGAATGTTTAGACCAACTTGGAATGTTTAGCGTGAGAATGAGCCCAACATCAAATAATTCTTCGTACATATTCCAGATGCTACTTTAACTAAAAGTTGATAACATTATCCCAAAAAAAATCAGCCAAGCACACAGCACTATAAAACATTAATAGCAGATAAAAAAATAAATACCTCTGAAAGAAGCCTTTCCTTTTCTTTTAGATGTTTTTTAAGTTCAGCTTCAATGGCAGAAATTCCTCCAACAGCTAGAACTTTTTCCTCAAGTATCTCAATCTCACGAGTAAGTTCATCCACCTCAGCTTTTGTTTTTCTGTAATTCAAGTTGTCATCTATGTTTCTTTTTAATTGATCTTGATTTCTGAGCAACTCTTTACTCTTGTTTAAATCCGCCAAAATTTCCTGTTTCTTGCTCTCACATTTCTGCAACTGAGACTCGGATAAGAGAAGCTTATCCTGCAATTCCTTTAGTTTTTCTTCCCTCTTTGAGTCCAGGTACCTTTTAAGATATTCTAAATTATCAGCAAAGCTACGCTTTGACAGATTAATAGAAAACATAGATGAAGTTCATGGTTTAAAGACATACTCTTTGATTCTAGAAGCAAGTTTTAGAAGCATTTCAAATTCCTGTTGAAAACTTCTTTTGGTTTCTGCCAGTTCCTCGTATTCTCGATCCAGCTTCGATTTCAAATTTGAATGTTCCTGCAATGCCTTCTCTTTATCCTTCAACAAGGGAAGAAGAGATTCTGCAAAATGCTGGAAAAAAAAAAGAGAACTTAAGTAGTAGAAAAAGTTAAAGAGGCCAAAAACTTTGATGTAGAGCAAGTTGAAATAATTTTAATGAGTTCTTGAACAACATATTAAAAACATTTATTCATCTAAAAATTTGCTCTGTTATGACTAGTGAGTAGTTTTGATTAACAATAGATAATAAGTATAACACGGATGATATTTATGGTTTTTTTTTTTTATATATAAGACTAACAGTAACAAACATGATGAAATGAGATTTCAAGTAAGACTTTGAAAAGGCAATGAAAATTAAATTCCCATGATGGAAACTAAAATAGCTGTTAATGTAACTGATAATGATGAAGAATTGAAGTTTACTTCCACAAGTAGCCTTTTGTCGTGGTTGTCATCGACCTTCCCAAGTATCGTGCCACTTATACTCGAGATCTTTTACTTAGGTGAAAGAGAATACAAGAGTAGAAAATTTAAGTAATTCCTCATTCAATGATAAAGTGCATAGTATTACAAAAGAGTAGAAAATTTAAGAAGTAATTCCTCATTCAATAATAAAGTGCATAGTATTACAAAAGAGTAGAAAATTTAAGAAGTAATTCCTCATTCAAAAATAAAGTGCATAGTATTACAAAAGACTCGTTGCAAAAAACTAGAGGAGATTAAATTATACAAAACTACTTTCAAATTTAAATTTATCGCCAAATTTTTACCTATTATCATCACCACATATAACACCAAGAAAATCATAAAGTAACACAACAAACTCTATCGCACCACCTTGACAATCCATAGCTCTTGCACCTCTAACCTGACTTTGGCAATCCATAAATCGTGCACTCCTACATTGAATGTAAATGAATCCAACCCTGTGAGTAGCCACTTTCGTAATGCACCAATATATAATGTGCGGATGAAGAGCAAGGAGAGTTAGAGTTTTATGATGTTAATTATTTGATTTGAAATAATGTTTTACTTACTAAATGCTATTAATAGGTTTAACAAAAGACAGAAGATTAGAGATTAAATCAAATAGAATTGCAAGCGGGAATGAAAAATATTGTGCACAAGGAAGCAACCCAAAGTTTTTAAAGTAAGGATTATGTCGTTTTAATTAGATAAATTTTAAGTTTTCATAAGTAGAATTATTGAGAAATTTTTATTCAAAAGCTGTTTGAAAGAAATATATATTTTTTTAAAAAAAGATATATTTAAGTCTTTCTTTTAGAATGATTTTCTTATAATTATATGCATATTTAATTGATATAGGTAAAAGTCAAAAAAATGAAGTCAAGTAATAAGCTTTTATAAAGAACTTTTAAGCATGTGAGCAATTATCTTCTTGTATGTATTAAATTAAGATTTTATTAATGAATAACTATATTATTGTTTCATATAACTGATTTTATAATTTGAGGTACATTATGAAAGAAAGAATTACTGAAATGAATGAATTGAAAATTGAAAAGAAAAAATTGTAATTTTAATGACCTTAAATAGAAGTAATTAAAAGAAATAAAATGTAAAAGCTCATGTCAATAAGAATAAACCCCCAGATGGTACTATATGGGATGTGATGTGCCACTGCATGATAAATAAAATAGAAATGATAAATCTGTACCTTAGGGTGCAAATTTTTAGGGTAATTACAGATACAATTTAGAGAATACCTTCAAACATAATAAAAATCATGATATGACTTCTTAAAAAGGTTAAAAAGAGCAATACTTAAATTGAAATTGGAATGGATAAATTTAAAATGAAAGCTTACAGTTTTATTAACTAATGAACTACATTTCTTTTGGTATTCATACATAATACTTGCATATGAATTTAATACATATTAAGATTATAATTGTTCACTGAGTTATGAAAACTTAATGTTAAATTTAATATTTTCTTTCAGGAAAAGAAAATTTTAAATTGGTATCTAACATGAGGGATTTAGTTTATAAGAGAACTAAGGTTGATAAGAATCATGTTATGATGTGACTGTGCTTTCTTTTTGCACAATCTTCTTCAGAGCAGAAATATACAATTATATGTTAGTTTGAGATGTGTGAAGGCCCTTATTATTTTTTGATACTTCGAATTTATGTGTATTAGATTCTTAGTGGCTCTTTTATATATTAGAAGTTTATGAAAAAAAATGTGAAAAGTAAATGAAATGTTAATGCAGTCATATTGTGATTCCTCACTAAATTAATTTTAAACTATCAAGTCGGGTCGTGACAAACCTAATAGCATATCATGAGCAATCAAATGCTTCGACATATGAGGCTGAAACTCCACCAACCCCGGTAGATTGACGCAGGACAAGAAGGAGACCCCGAACAAGTTTCGACCAAGTGGGGAAGGGTCAGGCAGCCCTCTCTCTAGAGCTAGGGTTGTCATCGGCTCTACCTTTAGGGCTAGGGTTACCGCCTACTCTTTATGGTAATATGAATATTTTCATCTGTTCGTTTTTATTAAATTTAGGTCTTTCGTTTATTACAAATATGTAACCGTTTATTGTATTAGGGGTCTTTCGTTAATTTGAACTTTGTGAGGGCATGTGCACCCTTTGTTTTTATTGTATGAGGATAAGTTTGTATCCAAGATGTTTGATGGTGGCAACAATATCCCTGCGTTGCTGGTGGTGACATCCCGGGTCTCTTCAGGTGATGATTTTTGTATCCCACTCGATAGTGAGAGTAAAAAATACTTAAATCTTATATTTAATTAGTGCATCACATCTTTGTTTTGATTGTTTTTTTCTTTCTCAGTTTGTTTTCTTGTCTGTTCTTGATGAGTCTTCTCCAACCCCACCCCCACCCTCACGATATCAGCCATGATTCAACCTAATTAAACTAATTCAAAATTAATTTGCTACAATTTGGTTTGGAAAATTATTTGAATGGTTCGGTTTTCTAAATTTTAAACTAAAATCAATTGGTTGTGTTAATCTGCAAACCGAACATGCTAAACTAACCAAATGAAGACCCCTACCGTTTAATAGGGTCGAAAATGAGGGGGTAGCTAATGGTGTGCAGCAGTATGGAGGTGCCACAGTTAAGATGGATTGAGCTTTTCAAGAATGCAGAATGAGTTTCTCTACACATCACTTAACCACTTAACTCATTCCTATTTGGATAAAGTTTCAATTTGAAAATTCTCTACTTCTTAGCAACTGCTTACGGTAAGCCTCTCAAAATTGATAGTCCTACGCTTGCTGTCACCAGCTCCTCTGTGGCTTGTGTGTCGGTTGTTATATATAAATTGATTTTGATCCAAAAGCGAAGTCCCATATCAAAACCTATTTGGATAAAGTTTCAATTTGGAAATTCTCTACTTCTTAGCAAATGCTTACGGTAAGCCTCTCAAAATTGATAGTCATACGCTTGCTGTCACCAGCCCCTCTGTGGCTTGTGTGTCGGTTAAGAGAGATATCACTCAACCAGCTCCGGATGAGATATAGATTGGAACCACTTACAACAAGTATTAGCAAATTATTGAAATAGAACCACATCCTCCTTATTGCTCTCATTGTAGTATGTCTGACCACAATTCTACTATTTGTTATCCCTTGCATCCTCATCTAAGGTCGGATATCACTAAATATCAGTCACCTACCATCCTTGGTGAGAATATGCAACCCGATCCTCTATCCAACTTCGCAGTTCCTGATGAAGAACACCATACTACAGGTACAGATCCAAACGTGTTTATACTACTCACCGTTATTGAAGAAGGCTCACTTACATGTCAAGACACACGAGAGTGCTCCTTTGATCCAATAAAAGATCAACTGGTACAACAAGTAGTTGCTTCTAATGTTCAACAACCTACACATGTGCGGCTCACTTCAGACCATACTTTAGACCAAGATTAGGTGAGCTAATCTTCAAAAGAGGAATGACAGGTCTAGTACAGGAGGAAGAAGAAGAATGGAGGCCGACTCCAGCTCGGGAATTTATTGAATGATACATTGGTTACTACTAGCAATGCTACTCATCTTATTAATTTATTAGCTTGCTTTTTTCTTAGAATTAGAGGCAGAGACAAAACAAAATTGGGACGCTCTCTAGCTACCTGATACTACGTATTTTGACACATTTGATTTTTTTTTCTTTGAGTCTCTAATGTATTTTTCTGTATTTTCCCTTTTCAGAACCATTTGCATGTGATGGTTATCGTGTGGGCAGGATACCATGCTTGGGCCCTCCCACACAATCTATCTGTATCCTTTTTTCTTTTTAATATATTAGCCTTTTGGCTTTCTCAAATATATATATATATATA